TTTGCAAAGGGGAGGCACAGAGTCCATTACTAATCTTACCTATCTTGCCAGATTTCTTATGTCCCTGATTGCTGGAAAGATTTTGTTTTTAATTTTTATTGTTATTAGTATTTTATTGAAATTGTAATAATCATAATGTCAGTAAGAATGATAGCTATCAGTATTAGAGAGAGAAAAAAAATTACTATTGATTCCATAATGACTGTGCTCTTGTGCAGCCATCTAAATATAAACAAAATTAGAGTGGACACTATACGTACCTGGATGCAATTGGGTTTATGCATGAACCTAATAAATGGGGATTGCATATGACCATGCCATGGTAAGACAGAACCAGGGTGACATGGTGCTGCATAATGATATTCCGATTCATATCAGGATGTTGGAGGGAGCTCGTCTTTCTCTGATAATATCAGTATTTGTTTGGTGTCACTGTTAGATACATGTACATAAATTGAAGGAAACTTTTATGTTTTTTCCAATATTCGGTTATATACAGATTTAGGTGATTTGGTACCTATAGTTGTACTTGAAATATGAAATGCAGCGTGTGCAATTGGGGAAATTGACAATGCATGCATACAATCTTGTGTTACTGTCTACAAGCCAGTATTTGCTGCAGCAATTGTTATGTTAATAGCAAAAAATCCAAACAGTGAATAAAGAAATATATTTGATTATTTGGATTTTCTGCTATTAACCCGATAATGGCTTTATCAGGATAATAATCCATTGCATCTGGATGCTTTGCTGCATGCATTTGGACATTGGGCTTACTTGAGCAGCCACTCTGCTGGGTGTGTGGCTTGTAGGCCAGGCAAACACAAACACTCGTGTGTGATGACAAGACTTCATGCCTCCCCTTTGCAATTTTATTTTCACATTTTCTACATATGTGCTCTTAGCTTTTTCTATTTTCCAATGTCTATATGTATCATGTAATTTACTTTATCCAGATAGTAATAGACTGTTTTCTGTGCACAATGCAATGATAATAAGTAACATTTTGTTATTTGTATCATTTATTTTTTATTATTGTTTTTTTGTCATTATTTTATTATTATTTTTATGTTTTATTATTATATATTATTTTTTTTTCTTTTTGTAATATTCTATTTTCTGTTATACAACCTGCACTGCTGGTCATGCTTGCAGGAATAGGATCCTAACTTCCTTCTTGGAGCTGGTGCCTTTCCAGTCATGGCTAACGGATGGTACATTCCACACTTGTTTATCATTGAAAATAATGCAAAAGCGCTTTCCTAAATGTCAGCTAGGCCTAATCTCACCCCCTAAGAGCTTTGTGTATTCATGGCGAGTCATTCCTGTCACCCTGGCCTTCAGCCGAAGTTTAATGCCAGCAAGCTCCTGATGTTGTGGGTCACAGCCAGATTTTCCCTTGACTGCATGTGCACATCACCTACCCCCTCAAGAAAATTTTTTCATGATGAGATGGTCATGTCATTAACTATTTAGATTCTATGATAGGGGTTTAATCCTAAGAACTGCAAATCCTCTAGCTTGTCAGTCTCCAACAACAATAAAGGTCTAATTTACTTGGGCACATTTTGGTTGCTGGCATTTCAAGAGCTTGGTTATACATACTGAATGTATAGTTCGTAGTCATATGTTATATACATGGACCAGATTTGAATTACCCCTCACATATGAATGAAACGTGGTAAGTTACAATACTCATGGTAGTGAAACATTAAAACCAGTAAAAAAGTAATTCCTTCATAATAAGATATGCATCTAGAGGTATCTACAGCAATTGATAAAGAGGTGACTGATATTTAATAGTATGATGTGTGAAGGGGAATGTGGGAGAGGAAAAGATGAGTGCTAGATAAAGACTGTCGAGTACCAGAATTACTACTTGCATGTTCCTTCATGGTAAGAAAGAGGCAGGAAACTTGTCAATATGGTTGGCACAAGGAGAGGAGATCCTAAAAGGGGAATGGGGTATGGGGATGAAATTGTCAGCTGAAGGAAACTTGCCAAAATATATCAGTAGACACTACATAGTTTTCATTGATAATGGAAAAGATAGGGATTGCTACAACTCATTAGCCTCTTCCTTTGTCAGTACTCATGGCCATGTTTTTCCAGGTGCACGATGTGGTTGGCGAGAGAGAGAGAATGGCCTAGATGGAGACTGGGATGACGGCTCTGGACGAGGGACTGGCCGGGGTGTCCCAGTTACCTCACGTAATACACGGCAACCTTGGGATGACAAAGACGGACACCACAGGAAATCATGGGAGGAAGATAACTTGCCAGAGTGGTGAGTATTGGTTTTGGGGGTATGGGAATAGGTTGGGGGCTTGGAAATGTTCAATTTGCCATTTCTCCATTAGCATGTGTACTATAGACACAGGAGTATGTTGATTATTTTATCCTTTTGCTTAGTTCAGCATTTCTTAACCTTTTCCAGGTTTAGCACTCCTGTAGTCTAGTGCCTCTGGTTATCATCTGATTTATAGAAGGATATAGGAAA